TAACCTTCAAATTAATTTAAAAATTTTGCATATATAGGGACCACTTTATGTATTTCAATTTAAATACAAAAGTAATGCCCAGATGACTTTCAAGCTATGAAGCACTTATTACATGGATACAGAATAAGAGTATGTTACAAATACGGATGTGGAGATACTATGTATTGTATAATTTTAAAGACTCGTCAGTATAATTACATTTTATTTCAAACTATATATGTTTATACTGTAAAAAAATAAAAATATTATTACTTATTTACACCTTAAAATAACTAATTAATTATATAGACATAAAATCTTATAAGTGATTACATATAATAATGAAAAAAATATTGTAAAATAAAAAAAGAAATATATAATTCAAAAATCAACAGTAATTTTTTTAAATGAATAGTATCAAATTCGATACGTGTTCGACATGAGTACGTCAAACCTCACATGTGTTCGTGCTTCCTAATTTTCAAATCTCAATGGAACTCAACTAAACCTTTTTTTTTTCTACATTTCTCCCCATAAATCAAAATCATTTCAAAATGGTCCTTCACATTCATAAAAACCTTGCAATTAACTTTTGACTCCAACATTAATTTAAGGAGCATTCTTGTAATTTTAGAGGTTAGTTGGGTTTTAGTTGTGAATTGGTTAGTTTATGTTTCCTTTCCAATAAAATTTTTAATACTGTTTTTTCTTTTTAATAAATATCTGACTAAATTTATATTTTTTTCCTCGACTAACCTCTACTAACTAGTAGTAGCGGCGAGTAAGGGTCGATCCCACGAGGAGCAGAAATTAAATTGTGAAAGTTCTCGTATTAATTGAATTTAAACTAAGAAAGCAGTAAAAATGAGGGGATTGATTTATAAAACTAAAAATAAAAATCAAATTAAATAAAAATCAAATCAAGTAAAAGAAGTTCAGTTTTCGGTTCAGTTATCACCCAATCTAAATTTACCGTTAATTAATTTCAACGCATTCTTTAAATTGCTAATGAATTAGCTAACAACAAGCTCTGTTAACCGAATTTTCCCTTACCGAATATTTAATCGAAATAAGTTCTTCGACTAAACCTAACTAGCGGACAACCTAGAATAAGCTCTCTAGATTTAATGCACTAGCAGCATTAATTTCTAGGAAAATAGATCAGTCTAAGCAATGGACGCACAAGCTCGAACCATTTAACTTATGTTCACGCTACCCTAGAGATGCACGACCCCTAGTTTACTACTAACAAAACAAGACAATAACAATTACGGATTAAAGTCACGAATCTAGCAATTAAATTATGAATATTTAATCCAGCTGGCCAAACTAAATCAAACACCATAATTCATAAACATTCAACACAGATAGCATGAATCAACTCATCAACAAAAATAAATACGGTGTCTAGATTAATCAACGTTAAATATAAATTCTTCAATCTATAGACAAATCAAAGTTAGGGTTTAAACATCCCTAAAACTGGATAAAAATATTAGCCTAACATACTAAAAAGAAATAAATAAAAGATAAAAGAGGGAGAATAAAATCTCCCTCGTGTACGAATGCCGCTTCCCTCCGCGTGTGATATTCTCTATCCGTGCGGCTGCTGCGTTTCTTTTCTCTATACTGCTTACGGCTTTTCCTCTCGACTTTCTGTCCGTCTCGCAAAAATAAAATCCCAGGCTCCAAAATATATCCTTCTTCCGTGGGAGATGTGTTGACTTCAGCAAATAATTCCTAATGCCAAACTAATCAAAACTCCTCCAATTAAAAGTTTCCAGCCCACAAACGTCTAATATTTTCAATTCATTAACCCAATACTTTCAATTCAATTAAAACCATTTGGTGGGACCCACAAGTGGTGGCAACCATCCATTATTTACAATGGCTCTCGATTTATTATAAATTTGGGCCGTAAGTGTCCGCTTGGGCTGTAAATAGTGACCGGTATTGGGCCCAACATTGACTTGCTCGAACGCTCGTCCAATGCTCCGGATCCACAAAATACTCTAAAATCCTAAAAATAACACATAAAACATCAAAGCAAATAAATTCATCCAAATAATGAATAAGTCGAAAAAAATATAAATGTGCGACTAAATTTAGTGTATAAAAATACACTATTAAATATATAAAACGTGCACATTTTTCTACTATCAATATCTCAAATGCGGGTTCAAGAAACATCACACATAGTGGTGTTGCCAACATATCTTAGCATTCATGTATGAATTGTGAATGGGGGGTTTGAAACTTTGAATATAAGATAATAATTTTACAACCATAGTAAGTGCTATCATCTTAGTCAAAAATCCTGATGAACAGACCACACAAAGTGCTTGCATTATTTCTCTCAACTGGTCATGCATCATTATAAAACCATTTTATAGCCACTCATTTGATTCTAGATAATAATAGTAATCACATTTATAAATATATATACATTTCTATTTAAGAAAAAAGAAAAAATTAAATCGTAGTCAAATGGTAGGATCTTATTAGAGTAGAACTCGAGCTACGTCGAGTAGCTCTCATTCGAGTTCGTGTTTGTTTAATAAATGAGCCGACTCTGTTAAGCTCGACTTTTCATTGAATTCTGTAAAAAATGAGTTATTTGCAACTCGTTTGATAAATGAATTCGATTAATTATTCGAACTTGTCTCGTTTAAACAAACAAACGAGCCAAACTCAAATATTTACAGATTGATTTGAGTTGTGTTTGTAAACTATTCGATTTTTCATTTGAGAGCTTCACTAATGGACAATAAATTCTCAAAGACAAACCCAAGAATCCATGTTCTATTCCCACGCCTAATTTCATTGAATAAAAATATATATAATCAACTTAGAATTCAATAAATCATAATAAGAACTCATGAGCACGTGTTGGGTATAATAAGAATCTCATAATTGTGTAGCCACTCACATGTGTTGGGGAATATGATTTTGCTTGACCTCGTCTCTAGATCATGCTTAATCATTCTTCTAGTGTCGTTATTGATCTACTATTAGTATATTTTTAATAAAAAATTAAATGAAACTTCTGTATTAGCTAGTGCCTAATTGCCCATAACTCGAAAATTTAATATGAATCATATAGTATTATTGACTTATTGTGTCCGGCAAATAAACCCGCATGTTTAAGATAAAATAATCACATTTGGTTACCTGCATTGTAACCAAAATCTCTACAGGATTATGTGTGCAAGTGAAACAAAACAGCTTTTGGAGAAAGTCAACAGTTTTATTAATTTTAAATATCACGACATAAACAAAGAATTATTGTTATCCCGTTAATATAAACTTGCACTTATCAAGTTTCTAACTTAAAATCTTTCAACTTTATGTCAAACCAAATACAATCCTAGCAATAAGTAATATTATTAGTTAGATTATCGGGTAGAAAATTATAATTTCTAATCACAGGCATAGTTTTAAATATAACGATTGTATCTAAAAAATAATAAAAACAAAAATATGATATTTTATAACATAAATATCCATTTTTATTTATTAAAGAAAAAAGTATGACGAATATAGAAGAATTTGTAATGCCATCATCCGTAGATAGGACAGACAGTAGTTAAAAACAATAGTTTAGTTCACTTGTCTTGCTCAACTTTATTTCCCTTCATATCTCTGCTGTCAATTGATGTAATATGTCACAAAACAATTTTTTTTTTTTTTTTTAATTCATTGTAAAATGTTGTAATTTTTGCATTATGTTTGAATAAGTATCACGCTTTATTGCAAATTTAAGGGATGTTCTTGTTTCATTAGATGAACTGACCACAAATCAATTGCCCAAACAAGAAACTCCTTACTCCCTACAAAAATCACCATGAAATCATCACATACATTGCACAGCACAACTTTGTAAAGCTTGATAATTNTTATTATTAAAAAAAAAAAAAACCAAACAAAATGGAACCAAATTACCAAACTATTCAAGAACATCTAAACAAGCAATTTCTCCATTTGCTTCATGATTCCATTGATAAGGAAAAACAGACTTCAAAGCTCAAACCCCAACCTATACACAGATATACCTTCTCACCAAAACATTCCCAAAAGGATTAATCAAGAAAACCACAGCCCACATACTAAAAATTGGAGACAAAAACCAACACTATAGAGTAAATACTAAAAAAATAAAAAAAGGCGGCAATCCCGAGCCCAGCCCGAACAAAACCTCAAACCCTAAGCAAATATATGCTGAGTTCGGGCCCTCCGCTTCCATCCGGGTTCATCATGTAGAAGGCCTCCGAGTCCTTGCTTCCCACGACCCGCTCAAACCGGGCCCTCATGTACATCATTTCTCCGTCCGGGCCCGGCCCATCTCCCGGCGGCCCGGGAATCACCCCGGCCCCCATCGAGATCGGGCCGATGGCTTCCAGAACCTTCCACTCCTCGGGCCCGCAGTCCCGCCTCATCGCGTACCCGCCTTTCTTCCCGTTGCAGTAGGTCCGCCAGATGGGCTCCTCAAGCAGCTTGAAGTAGTTCTTTTTTTCGGGCTTACGGTCGCACTCAAGCGCGACCCGAACGAGCCCGGACGCCATCTCCTTCACCAGCGCGCTAGTCGGAGTGGCCAGCTCGACAAGGAACGCCGGGCCCTGCTTGAAATCCTCCTGGAACGCGAAGTGGACGTGGCCCCGCCGGTGGCCGAAGAGGGTCCCGACGACTTTTGAGCCGAGGTTTGAAGAGAGCCCGGACCGGGCCCGGCCCAGAGTGAGGGCCGACCGGAGCTTGGCAACGGCCATGGTGGGGAGCTTCTTTTTTCGCGGCGGGTGGGGAGATCCCGTCGAGAGGGAGTGGCGGAGGGTGGGAATCGACGGCGGATCTGGGTTTTGGCTGTGGTGGTCGGAGGCGGAGGAATCGACGGCCAGGATTTCCTCTGTGTCATCGTCCTGCTCGTCCTCGACGATTTTCTTCTTGAAGTATCTTCTAGAGAAGGAGAAGGAGTCGTGAGGGTTCTTGGCCGTGATTGTTTTCATGGTCCCAGGTGAATACAGGACGGCAAAATGGATTTCAGAGCAAGAAAATGGTAAATGAGGCTAAAGGTAGGAGCTTTTTCTCTGGTTTTTGTGAAAAAAAAATAAAAAATTGTGTGATTTGTGAATCTGGTTTTGGGGTGAGCAAATGGGGGGTTTTTTAATGGTGGGAAGGATTTGTTATTCTTTAGATCCTGCAAGAAGGGTGAATACTGACAAAAGAAGGTGAGCAGACACACCAAACTTAATAGTCAAGAAAAAATCAGACGGAATGACAAAGAAAAAAATGGGGAGAGAGACAAAGAAAAGCACACACAAGACAGGTAAAGGGCAGAGAGAGTGAGGGTACTGTGTGTGTATTGTGGAGTTGAAAGGGAAAGAAAAGAAGTCCTAGTGGGATCTAAGGGGACAATGTGGGATTTTATTTTTATTTTACTTTTATATAGGTTTTGATGGTTATTTTTAAATTTTCAAATGGTGGGGACTGATTGGTAGAGAACAATAGAGACATTGGGGAGTTGGAATAGTGAGCAATAGGGAGAGGCCTTATTAGACTAATTTAAGGAACTGGGCCGGAGAAACAGTTGAGATATAGGTAGAGCCACACCAGCCTAGAGAAAAAGAAATAGATTAATACATAAATAATTTAAAATGGAAACAATCCTAGTAATTATTGTTGGAACATCACCTATCACCAATCTCATATTATTAAATAAAAAATGAGTTTAGTTTATGAGTTTTATAAATTACTCTTTTTATTTTTTTTAAAAATAATAAATTTCATTAAATAAACACATAATTACAGACTAAAAACAGCCACTCAACCGAATAAATCAACTGTGCAGTTAATTAGATTGAAGGTCTATATCCGAGGTAGCCTAGAATACACAAAAACAAAACAAAATTAAAAGCTCCCACAAGTGCATAATATGGCTCCCAGTTGGAAAACAACCTCGAACCGCCACCACACGAACTAACACCCAACGCAATCAACCGAGAAGAAAGTGACCCGGTCCATGACCTAACACACAGCATCTAAAAACTCCCTCTATGGTTAACTAGATCCGGACCAATGGACCTGAAGCTCTCCCAACAGTACATCACAAGGTCAACCCCGGGAGACCCGCACCACAAACCTCTCCACGCATAAACCAGAAGTCGCAAAATTGCCACCACCAGAACAGGGAAAGACTAAGGCACCGACCTCAGGTCCGACCGCAGCAAGGCGACGATCAGAGCTCACCCCCACGAGATTCTCGGCGAACTGTTGGACCCCACCCCCACCATGGCCACTACACCACGTGGATACGAAATATAAAAGCTCTCCAGGAAGGTCGAAGCCAGCCCGAGCGTCAGCCGCGTCGATGGTTGCAGAGCGATAGTCGATAAATTATATCATTTAACAATTTGTAGTTAAATTGATTTCAATAAATTTAATTTTTAATTTATATTAATAGGTAATTAAATTTCTATTATAAAAATAAATATAATTATTTATTTATTTTGTATGTACAATATGGACGTCAAATCGAAGCTAATTAAGACATGATTAATTTGATATATTATGTATAAAAATTTAATAATAAATAAGAATTTAATGAACTTTTAAATCTACTTATAACTTAAGTTAATATGTTATTCATAATTTTAAAACAAAGATAAAAAAAATAAAGATTGAAGAAAAAAAATTATGTCTTATAAATTACATCTAGAATAGGAAATGTAACGTAATTAATGCTATAAAAAGGAACATAAATATCTAGTATATTTATGACTATTACAAATTAACTAGTTATTTTTTGATTGTTAGTAAATTAAAATCCATCTAAAATAGTCACATAGGATCTCGAATCATACGAGTCTGTCACGTAATTTCAGCACTGGGAATTATATATTGATGGAGATTAGCCGGAAAAATGAATGTCAAGAGTACAAGAAATTAGTGTGTATAAGACAAGTTTTACACAAATTTGAACTAGTGAAGGTGGTCTATTCTACACTCACAATTAGTCCGAAGCACTAATCAATATGTAGGCTAATTTGTAATATGATTCCTTAATCAAGTTGGTTGACTCATTATATCTTTTAATAAAATATATAATAAAATGCGCACCGTATGCAAACTTCTTTTGAAGAGGCTTTTGGGAGAGTGATTAACCACTTTAAAATATTTTATAATTTGTTAAAAAGCTTGTAAGTTCATAAAATTTATTTTTATAATTTGTAATTTTCCAAAAATAAATAAGTTTTTAAATTTATTTATAAACTCCTAAAAAACATATTCCGCATACACCTTTTTAGATAAAAAATTATAAACTTAATTATTTTGTTATTTAAGATATCTTATAACTTCAGACATTTTTTAATTACCCAACAATTAACAGCTACTTTAAAGTAAATCACATCAGCAAAACCATATCTTGAATGATATAAAAACTTTTGCAATTGGATGTTAAATTTTTTTATTTATTATGACAAATACTATTCACTCATCTCAAAAAATTTCAATATAATATCGAAATTAAAAATAAACTATTTCTATAAATTTATTTATAAAAACTTACTATTTATCAAGTCATATATTTATAACTAATTATTATTTTACTATGTTCCTATTAAATCATAATTAATATTATTTTTATATCACATTATTTCATATATTATAAAAAATTATTAATTTCTTTACTATATTCTTTCGCTAATTATTTTGTTATTTCAAATAAAAGTATATTCTATAATCATGTGATAATTTCATCCAAACATATTCTAAATACAAAGAAAATTTAAACAAAAATAAATCACGATAATTATCTGAATATTTTTTTATTCCTGAATCACACACACTTAAATAAATACATGTCCTTTAAATAATACTAGTAAATGATGAATTTCAAGTCCATGCCTAGCTAGGTGTTACAATTACCTTAATTTTCCACCACTTTCATTAAACAAAGACACCACCAAATCACGTCAAACAATATTTAGTGGCCAAAATGAAGCAATATAATGATGCCAATTTGCACATCGAGCCAATAAAAATCTTAATCTGGGAAATAATGTGCTGCAAAGTAGCTCATTAAATGATTATACCAAATTTGTTTGCTGAAATTTAGATCAATCAATTATGCCTTAATTAAAAAGGCAGCCTCCGCCGACCTATTGACATGCACCACATATTTCGTTTCCCTCAAAGCGTGACATGGCCAAATCCGGTTCCGGGCTCGATTTCGGGCCAAGAGTTGGTCAGCCCTGAATTGGTCCGAACATATGCACAGGTCAGTTAGATGAATCGACGGTTCTCAGTGAATCATTTCATTAAAAAAAAACAAAAAAAAGGTCAATCCGTCGACTGAAAACCGGCCCGACGGTCAAAAAGTACGTGTATGAGGCCGGGAATCGGCTTGATCAAATCACATGCCCGGTACAAGGCCCGTTGCCCGAACCGGTCACACTCGATTTTAGGCAAAAATTTTGACTGCTAAATGTTGTTTAGCCATTGCACACTCATAATCATAGTATTTTACCAAAAATATGGATACTCATCCAATAAAAATATTATATTTTTAATTTATATTACATTTAATGCTTAATTACCCGTAATATCACGATCTTACAACTTTTGACAATTTTAATCAAACTTTTGGAATGACCAAGAATAACTTAACTTTATCTTATCTTTGCAACCCGAATCCAAAATGAAATGGCGGTCATAGTTTTGTCAGCGTGTCCATCAATTCAACCTAAGTGGACTAAATTCTTGCTGACATGTTAAGTGATTAATAACGAGGTAAAAATCAGTACAAAAGACTATAAGCGACCGAGGACTCCTTCCCCCCAAAATCAACCCAATTTCACATTAATTTGCCCTAATTTTTCACTTCGTCATCCCCAAAAATTTATAGGTTCATCAACCTAACCCTAAACCAAAACTCAGTCCATATTCATTGTCGTAAAAGTATCAACATCATTTGAAAATGTCGTCCTCGTCTCGTACAAGCCAAAATTTCCAACATAGCAGTTCCTCCAATATCCCTGTTTGGAAGCAGTGCGACCACGATAAAGAAGCAGATGTTCTGACCTCCATGACTAACGACAATCCATGTACGAGGTTTTATAGGTGTCGAGTTAGAAAGGCAATTTATTATTATATTATGTTCTGCAATTTTTCAGCAATTTTGTTGAAACATAAATGAAAGTTTTTCCTTTAATTGTATTATATTATGTAGGAGCAATTTTAATGTATTATGTTCTATAAATTATTTATTGTATTATGTTCTGCAATTCGGCAATGAGGAAAAAGTGGATAGAAATATGATTTTTATTTGAAAGTTTTGCCTCTAATTGGTATGTAGCTGATATGGATTATAATATTATGGACCAAACTGGTCAAGATATAATCTAAATCGGGATTGACGATCCTACACCTGACGCCAAACTGAACGTCTGAACTGGGATCGATCCTACATCTGGCGGCAGAACCGGGATTGATCCCACCCCGGGATCGACCCTACATCAAGTCGGTTTAGGTCAAATCCCTTGGTAATAGCCAACTCGACCCGTAACCTAATTACAAGAGCATTAACTGCGAGAGATAAGACACAGGATTGCCAGAATCCATGTTGTATGAGGTTGACCTCCTTGCTTCTCTCATGTACACGCCTGAGCCCTATAATTCTCAATAATTACATTACGACTGTTCATCTTCTTCCATATCTCTATTCAAACATAAGAGTCGGAGGATTTTGCGCCGAACAAACTCTTGCGCCCTTTTGCAGGTACTTCACTCATCCCCTAGTCCAAACCTGAGACTGGAGAAGAGAGATTCTATCTCCGAATCAAAGATCATTCCCCGGAGTCGTCTGTACCAGACCTTATCAACAACAATTAGATGGTTTTGGTTTCTTTGATTGGACTGATCCCTCATTGCCTGGGTTCTAAAAGACACGCTTCATCAAATTGAAGGCTAAAAAAAAGACTTTAGAAGAAAAGTTATGGGACAAGGTGCTTATGAAAAAATTGCACAATGACAGGTTGAATGTGAAAGAAGTAAGCTTGATTAGGCTTGAGGAGCTTGAAAACAAAGTGACAGGGCTTGAGGTTCATGGTCACAAGAATGTTGAACTAATTTTGGTTCTTGAGAAAACCTTAACTCAAATGTCAAATGCAACACCTTGAAAGGAAAATGAGTGTTGTGATGATTTGTTTGATTGTTGTTAACTCAAGTTGATTTGATGTAAACGTAGAAGAGCGATAATGTGAAATGATAGTTAGTTAAAATTATGTAAGTGGATGAATAGTGAATTAAAGTTGATGTGATGTGACGTGTAAGAATAATTATTTGGTATTATTTAATTATTTTGATAATATTGAATATAATAAAATTGAGTTAGAAATGAGTTAGATTTTGAGTATTAATTGAGTATGAGTGAAAAAAATTTATAAACAAACACTCCTCAATATTTAAGAAACGGGAGTTATACCATTATTTGTGGAGGTTTATATAACGTAAGCCAACTGGTTAATTTGGATTGTGAAGTTTTTAGTTTGATGAGTAAGTTTTGGAATGAGGCATTATTGACCCAATGTGCTGTTAGTCAAATTAAAACTGGATAGAAATTACAATGGATCGGATACAAACCTTATTAGCAAATGAAATGCGAATAGCATATCAATTATTGAACCTCGTTGTTTTTATCACTTTTTCGTTTTTAAGTAAATACGATCTTGCACTCTTTATCCCCAATTTCTCCAATCCCATCTTATTAATTCCATCTGATAAGACGGGAGAAAGATAGATGTTAAGAAAAAAAATATGTTCCTTATTATTTATAGCAATCTAAAAATCTATGAAATCACATGTTGATAACTGTTGACAGAACAAATTAATAAATCAAAACTTTACATCAACTGAAGATCAATGCATGCATCGTGCAATGTTTAGTTTTAATTATCATCACTACCATGATGAAAGGATTATCCTTCAATTATGCAACAAAATATACATTAAAAAAAACTCAAACGTATGTACAATACAAATGACAATAATAATAAATTATATAATTTTCCCAACATTTTCAACCTCTAGGCAAAGAATTCGACTTGTACAGCTATAAATTATATACTTTGACAATAATAATAAATTATATAATTTGCCGAACATTTTCAATCTTGAGGTAAAGAATTCGACTTGTACGATGGGGCCGAAGGAGGAACGAGGGCTCCTTTTGGAAGTCTTGTGGAGTACAAGCCCTCATCTTCAGAATATTTGCTATTCTCTTGAAAATATTTCAAGATTTTTCTCACAAAAAGATCGTCATCCTTGGTGATTATTGAATCCCCAGCTGTAGTTGCAATAATGCAAGCATTCAAGAAAAGAAGTGCAAGAAAACATATGGATATTATCTTTGGCCATGAGGTTATTATTAGGGTATTGGAAGATAAATTAGTAGAATAAAACATGATAGATTAATGAATTTTTCTTCTTGTTGATGCTTGGAGGTGCGTGTATATATGTGTTTGTATCATTAATTGCATTGAAGTTGATATGGAAAAGAAATGAAAATGAGAAGTTGGAAAAATAAATGTGAATGCATGTTATTGAGCGATTAGAATTTTTGGTACGCGAAATTTGTTGTGAATGTGAAAATTTTTCTTCACCTTGCAACTACTTTATGTTGAAATTTTAATGCATTTCCTGTTTGAATATAGAATTATTTTCTTGAAAAATCTTTTTCGCTTGCAAGTATTAAAGTTGAAATTTAAGTGAAACCATTTGTCCTTGATAATACTACATTTAATACTTCCGAATTATTCAAGTTGAAAATTTGATAATATATTTAATAGTTCGAAATAACATTAATGAGTTCATAAAATATGTCAAGGGATGTAAACTTGGACTGAAATTTGTATAACTAATTACACATGTTCTAATATATCATTACATAACCATGTCAAAATGAAGTTCCCCAAACTGATTATTAAATCCGCAAAAAGCAGTAATTTTTTTAGGATTGTTTAGGGAGTGTTTGGTTATAAGTTTTTCTAATTCATATTTAATTTATACTCAAAATCTAAATATCTAACTCACTTTAATCTAACCCCCACTATCCTCAACTAGTATGAGTCCCGTGCAGTGCACGGATAAGAGATATTCATTAATATTTATATTTTAAAAATTCTTATTAAATTATATTTATAAATTAAAAATATAGAATCAATATGTAATATAATTTATCTATATTAATTTATTGAAAATGTTATATAAAGATTAAATTGTGCAAAATTCTATAAAAATGTCTATTTAAAATTAGTATACAACCCGTATGGTGCACATAACTGATCATAAATTATATTATATTCGTTTCAAAATAAGTATCATTTCAAAAATTTTATTCAGAAAATCGATTTGACTATATGTGATTGCATAAAATAGTTATTTTGGTAAAATGTTATCATATATTTAACAACTTATTTGAATAATAGGTATAAATATAAAATTTATTATATTGTTTCATTACTTGAAATAATTTATTATTGTATAAACTATTCAAATAAAAAAAATTAAGTAGTTGAGTAATTTATTAAACTATAAATAATTGACTATTTCGTTTACGTCCAAGTTAATATTGACCCATAAGTTATTGAGTAATATACTAAATTTTAAATAATTGACTATTTCGTTTACGTCTAAGTTAATATTGACCCCTAAGTTATGAATAATTATTTTTTATTTTAAATTTAAATAATTTTTTTTTTATTTTTTTCAATACATTATATACCAAATTTAAATAATTTTTTTTTTATTTTTTTCAATATATTATATACCAAATTTAAACAATGCAACTCATAAAGGTAATAACTACAAGTTTTGTCAATATATTATATTCCAAATTTAAATCATGTAACTAATAAACGTAATAGCCGCAATATTTGACCAAAATGATTCGATACATTAATTTAGGCGGGATTTTTCAAATCTATAGTAATATAAAGAGGTTGATGGAAAAATACAAAAATAGTAAGGTTGACTTTAAAAAATAAAGCTTTGACTTGCTAATTGAAGTAATTACTCTTTATCACCTTAAAATCGGTTAGTAATGACTATAATTGGGGATTTCGTTAAAAAAATGAAGAGATTTTTATGAATTTAGACTTTTTGGGTAATGATCCGATATTGTTCTAATTTTACGCCGATATTGTTCCAATTTTTAATGCCGATATTGTTCCAATTTTTCGGTAATGATCCGATCCGATATTTTTAATGCCGATATTTTATCAACCGCGAATTACTATAGATAATGCCGATATTGTTCCAAATTTTTTTCGATTTTACTTACCAAAAAACAGAATAATGATCCAATTCAATGGGTAAGCGGATTCTATGTGAATTTGTTGCGATTTTCTTGCACAATATATCCGGATTCTATGCGTGTTCAATTGCTTTTAACTTTTAGGCGTATTGCGATTTTACTTACCAAAAAAAAACGGGATTATGAGCAAATTCAATGGGTATCCAAATGTAATCATAAAAATCAGCGGATTCTATGTGAATTTGTTGCGATTTTCTTTCACAATATAACCGCATAGTCTCCTCATTTTTCGAACCAAATGTAATCATAAAAATCAGCAGATTAGATGCCAATTGCATTGAAATGCCATGTATAGAGTCCTCATTTTTCGAACCAACTCATCATATTGTTATTGTAAGAAAATCCGATCGGATCCTATGGAATTTTAGTAACCGATATTTCACGATTGTCTCCTACATATTCTTATATAAACATCACAAACTTTGCAACATAGTCTCGACATCATACACATCCCACAATACATTTTTTTCGCCAACCTTTTACAACAACATTCACAATGCCTATAGATTTTGGAGTCATCAAGGATATCGACAGATCCAAAAAGCCACCCATGAAGCTACGCATTATTAGGATGTTCCAACGAGTCGAAGATGTACGAAACTATCGAAATGTTCTTGAGATTGTCTTTCACGATGTTGAGGTAATATATTCTTTTGTTATTATTCACATTTAATATTTATATTTTATCTAATAATTTTAACTTTAAGAATAAATTGTAATTCACAAATAATTTCGATTGCAACATTCAACGTGACATATTTTATATTTTATATCTCTTATATTTAATATTTAATTATTCAATTTGTATTTGTTTTAGGGTGTACGAATTACTGGCATTATTCGACCTGTCAACATCCAAAAATTCAAAGGCCATATTGAAGAAGGTGGTTTTTATATTTTGACAAATTATCAAGTTGAAAGTAATATCGGCATCTACAAATCGACCATAGGAAAATGGAGGATCATCATCCATGGCCAAACGAAGATTGTGAAATGGAAGGAGGAATTTCCATTTTTCCGTTTTGACTTTAGAAACTTTCTAACTTTGATGGATGTTCGTAACATTGAGGAAGCTATGTTGTTTGGTACGATACATATATACATATATATATTCCGATTTTGTTTTGCAATGCTTTAATAAAATATTTGTTATGTTCAACATTTTAATATGATGCATTCTTTTATTTTTTGTAGATATCATTGGATTGGTTGTTTCAATACAACCAATTCAAATGAAGATTGTGAAGGGAGCTCCTACTCAAATGATTGTGTTCTCTATTATGGATTTAGAGTAATATTTTGTAGCTTTATATTCAAACTTTTTATATTACATAAATATTTTATGTAATTTAATTTTTTTCAAAACGCTTTTTAATAAATTATTTAAAAACACATATTCACATTGTGCAGGGGTAATGTCAAGGAATGCACTGTCTGGGGTCGATATGTTGATCAGCTGATTGCTTTGGAGCATCATTATGAAAACGAAAAAACACCTTTTGTCATCATAATGCAAATGTGCCGCGCAAGAGAGTGGAGAGGTAATTAATTATGTTAATTTGATATTTTTTCATTATAAAATAAAATTTTGATTAATACTAATTGTTTACAACAATATTTTGTGTAATAGGTGATGTTCAAATAAGCACGTCGAAGGACGTGACGTTGATCATTGGTGTGGATGTACCCGAAATTGAAGACTTTCGGAGGAGGTACATGTTATTTGATGCTCCAAAGCATTTACATTGGTAAATGTGTGTCATCATATTATATCTTAGCATTGTTTCTGTTATTTTACAACATAGGCTGGCGCTGACTAAATTTAAAGATACCAAATTGGTGTCAAGTAGCTCCATCATTGTGAAGACCGAACTACAAGGACTTGATGATGGTGACATTGTTGTTAGTTCTGTTGATTCTCTATTCGAGTATATTGAGGTAATATAAATTGTAACTTTATTTTGCATTTTAATTGTAAATAGAATAAATATAATTTTCATTATTTTTATAATTTATAATTTATAATTTATTTATCATTTATTAATGACAATTACGATCAATTCAATGCCATTCTATATATATTCTAATTGAAATCATATTAATGGTTATGTATGTATTTTTTCTTTGTAGGTCATGGACACTTGGGTTTGCGCGAGGATCGATTCCATCATAGACCAATGGTGGTACCTTGCATGTCTTCGTTGTAACTCCTCAATGGAGGATGACAACGGGATATATTCGTGCCGGAAGTGCTCTCACAATCGTGGCACATTTCGGTTAGTTAATATTCTATATATTCAATTTTAAATATGTATATGTATTTGTTTATGAACTTTATTAATGTCAACATTAATCAAATTTTTTTTTTATTTGTAGCTACAAAATTCAATTTGGTGTTTCGGATGCTTCCGCCAGTGCAACCTTCCTTTGTTGGGATAAGGATTGTCAAAATATCATTGGCAAAACTTGCGATGTTTTGAAACGTGAATTATCCCAAAAGGTATATCTTTTATCTTATTTATTATTTATTTATATTCATATTTATATTTATATTTATATTTATATTATTACGGTTAACAAAAATGAAAAGCAATATTAATATTGATTTTATGGCAGAAGAAACCCATATTTGAACTCCCCGACGAACTTGAAGATTTGCAAGGGAGGTCATATCTATTTAAGGTTCGCATTAAGCCGGATGACCCTTACAATCAGGGTTCTACTTTTACCGTGATAAAAGTTGTCGTTGACGAACGCTTGGTGAACAAGTATAGTCAATGGGTCGTTGAGTATGATGTAAGTCTTATTTGAATTCACATAATTGATCCTTTATTCGAAATTATAAAGTTTAATTGTGTTCATTTTATATTAACGTATTTGTGTTTTTTCTTTGTATATAATATTAATTTAATTTATAGGATTCTGATTTCTTAACTCTCTTACTAAGAGATGAGGCTGCACATGGAGTGGTATACATCTTTAACACAATGATACGATTTCTAATTTTATTAATTCATAACGAATTGAAATATGAAACATTTATTTTGATTATGTAAATTTAATTGAATTATTGTAGGATCCCACGTTGGAAGATGAGGTATCAACTCCTGTGAAGGTTGTTCGATCCAAGGAAGATGGTGATGGAATTGCAAAACGGAACCTATCTGATCAATTTGCTGCTGAGTCCGTTACAAGCAATAAAGGGAAAGCAAAGGTTGATGATGATGGGAATTTGATCGAAGAAAAAGAAGACTGATTTGATGAATTTGCAGTTGAAGATAGTATTTCTATTAGTTAGTTTTAAAAGTTAAATCGTTTTTTATTCAGTGGGGTTTGATAAACATTTTACATTTCATTGGATTAGAGTTGCGTAATTTTTGTGTTTTTCAAACATTTAGTATTTTATTTCCAGCCTCTAGGTAACATATAGTTGCCGAGGCTTTTTCTTCATAATATAATAAATTCAGTTAGTTTTATCATTCTTTAGGTTGATTTTCTTCGTCTTTTTTTTATTTAGTATATAGATATCAATTAATCTATAAAAACTTTGGATAAGGGTTTAAACAATTATACTGATAAGCACTCTCTTATATGGTTGTTAGCGGTATTTATCATTAAAATTAAAAACGGATAAATAATCCGATAAACATTAAAAATTATCTAATGCTGATTTATAGATGAAATCGGATTGCATGGTGACACCACAAACATCAATTAAAAATATAACTAATCGGTAACCATTTGAAAAATATCTACTGTCGATAAATACTCTTCAATTTAAATTAAAACGGAATAACGCATATTTTATATCTTCGATCAGTTATAATTTTAATGTGGTAAGATGATAGCTATTAAATTATTAACAATAATATCGCTTACGGATATTATTTCCAGCGATTTAATTGTAATCCAATCAAACTAAATATCTAACGTACAATAATTAAAGTAAAAAAATATCCTACACGATTTTTACTCATAAAAAATATTCTCGCAGATAGAAACGAATCTAAGTTGTTATATATAATATAATAAATTATATTAAAAATTGTCTACAGCTGATTTATAGATGAAATCAAATTGCATGGTGAAACCACAAACATCAATATCTCGAAGTGTTATAGAATCCACATTCTTAAAAAAAACCTTTTGTTCTTATATATCTACAAACCTTCGTGAGAGAATCCACACTATACAAAAAACTATTTGTTGTTGTAGATATATATCTATTAAAAATATAACTAATCGGTAACCATTTGAAAAATATCTACTGTCGATAAATAGACTCATCAATTTAAATTAAAATGTAATAACGCTTATTTTATATTATCGATCAGTTATAATTTTAATGTGGTAATATGATAGCTATTAAATTATTAACAATAATATCTCTTACGGATATTATTTCCAGCCATTTAACTGTAATCCAATCAAACTAAATATCTAACGTACAGTAATTAAAGTAAAAAAATATCCTACACGATTTTTACTCATAAAAAATATTCTCGCAGATAGAAACGAATCTAAGTTGTTATATATAATATAATATATTCTATATAATCAACGATATATATATTCAATGATAATTTGAAATCTACGAGAATGATTCTACACCAATCTTGAACAAGGATAATAGCAAATCTGCGCCTCAATGAAAAAATATAAATATATATTATAGAATATATTCAATAGATTTTATCTTATATATAATATATAATATATTAAATCTTCGGAAAACATATTACGTTTTTATATCAAATCTTTAATATATTCATTAACTTATGGGATATCTATAAATACCTCAACCATAATCTCAGCCCATGCAGTTATAAATCGTCCACAATAAAACAACTTAGATTCGAATATACAATCCAAAAAAAGTCGAAAACATGGATCAACCATTTGGCTTAATTCGACAGATTCAGAGGAGTAAGAGATTCATGCTAAAAGTCCGAGCAATTCGTATCTTCGAAAAATCATTTGATTCCAATTACCGAAGACAATTGGAGATCGTATTTCACGATGAAGAGGTTATTTTAGTGTTAACTATAGATTGTTCAATTACTATGTTTCTTATTGTGGCCTTATACGAATGTGTATTGTTTCTTAGGGCACTCGCATTAGTGGTATTATCCGTGGCGTTCATTTATCTAAGATGGCGGGCTATTTCCACGAATGTGGCATATATAAAATCCGGAACTACTATTTAGACAGCAACATCGATAAGTATCGATCTACTGCTGCAAAATACAAACTCCTTATTCATACCGATACAGAAGTTCTAGAAATACACGCATACTTTCCTTAGTGGCATTTTCAATTCCGTAGCTTTGCCGACTTTCAAGATGTTGAGAATGTTGATGAATCTTATCTTTTTGGTAATTTTTTTAATTTATTGTCAATTTCGTGTTTACATTAATTATTTTATTGATAACTTGGATCATAGATATCTTAAATTAACATTCAATTAATTACAATGTAGATGTCATTGGTATGGTGATTGAAATTCATCCTGTTCAGTCTAAATGGGTTCATGGACAAAAAAGCCAAATGATTGTCTTTTCCCTCATGGATTTAAAGTAAGTATATATATGTATCTAATGCCACAAATTGTGAAAGAATTTGTTGTTGATATTATATTATTAATCGACAATTTCTTTTTTCAGTGGAATTGTTATTCAATCCACACTCTGGGGTCATTATGTTGACCAACTCATTGCTTTTGAAACTCACTTTGAGTCCGAGGCAACTGGCGAACCATGGGTGCTAATTATGCAGCTTTGTCGGGCACGATTTTGGGAAGGTATATGCGAGTTATGTTTTAATTTGGGCAAAATTAAATGTACATTATTTATTTATGTTTAGTTAATTTTTAAAATATATTAATGAATTTATTTATTTGTATTTATATTTATATACACCAGATAAGGTTCAATTGGCTACCCATATGAATGTCACCCGTCTACATGCTGTTGCACCATTTCCAGAATTGATTGATTTTCGGCGGAAGTAACAATTACATTTATTATAAAATATTTGCATATATCATCTTATTTTTATTTATATTTGTATATACATATTATACAACATAATATAATTATGAGAGCACTTTTTTAGTCAATTAATTTTTGTATATATTTTGTGTATAGATTTTCAACAAGCCCATGGGCCAAGAAGAGTAAATATGTCACCAATAGCAAAATTGTCTTGAAGAGTGAAATGGAAGAGCTAGAAAATGGTGATTTGGTAGTTAGTTCTATAGATTCTCTATTTGACTCTGACGAGGTATTATTTATTCCCTAGATTTTTTCACCGAATTCAATTCTTATACACCTATTTATTTGTTTAATTTGTTTAATGTAAAAATAGGAGGTCAAATGTTGGGTATGTGCTACAATTGATTCAATTGTGGACGAATGGTGGTACCTCGCATGTAATCGTTGCAAAGGCAAGGTGGCTGATGAAGATGGGAAATTAAGTTGCACCAAATGTGCCCATAATAAAGGTGTTTTTAGGTGTGTGTACTTATCAATTCCTTATTTTACTCTATATATTCATAGATTTTAATTTTAGATATTAAAGTAAATATCTGTAATGCAATTATATTATAAAATCTTCAATGAAGGTACAAAATTCGTTTGATTGTGTCGGATGCAACATCAAGTGCAACATTCGTTTGTTGGGATAGGGAATCTGAAAAGATTATTGGAACACCATGTGAGGTCTTGAGAAATGAATTTCTTTACGAGGTACGAAAATCTTATATATCCTTCTTGAACAATTTTGTTTAATTAACTTAATTCGAGAATGATATTTTAAAACTTCTTCTTAAACAGCATCCCAATAGTTTTGAACTTCCTGAGGACGTGTCGAATTTAGTGGGTAAGACGATCCTTTTCAAGGTTCGTGTTTATCCAAAAAATCCATTAGGGTATGCTGCTTCATTTCCAGTCGTAAGAGTTGTTGCTGACGAAACTTTAGTCTCCATGTACAACTAATGGTTTGTGGAGAACGAGGTAATCAAATAAATGTATATAAATTATTTGTATGTAGATATTGAAATAATAATTAATTATAGATTTATATAAATTATTTGTATGTAGATATTTATATAAAAATTAATTATAGATTTTGTGAAATAAACGCGATTAATCAATTATTTATTTATATATGTAGGGATCTGATTTTCTTACCGTACTGCAAAGGGAAGACCATGACAATGGGCTGGTTTGTATTGGTCTCAAAATACATTGTTGGCTTTATATTTTATATATTATTTTGTTTATTGCTTTTATTATGCTCATGCAGGATGCAACTTTGGATGATGAGGTTTCTACACCAATAAAGGTTTTTCAACCTATCGAAAAGGGTGACACTTCCACAGCAAAGCGGAAGCTTCTCAATGATTTCTCCTCAACACCCAATGTAGATCAATCTGATGGGTCAGCAAATGCCGATACAGATAAGGGGAAGATTGAGAAATTGGACCCCAGTGGAGTACAATTTGAGGATGTCGCTGAAAATTGAAAGACAAATGCACCATAACATATGGTGTTTTATATTACTATAGATTCGATTGTTATTTCTTATTCAGCATATTAAATAAGTTTGAATAATTTCTTGATTCGTTTGATTGGCAGCTTTTTTACGGTTTTGATGAACAAATTACGTTTTTTTGTTTTATATTTTGAATAATTTCTTGATTCGTTGGATTGACAACTTTTAAATGATTTTGATGAACAAATTATGTTTATTTCGTTATAAGTTCTAAGATGAGTAAGTTTATTGTTTTTTATGTTCTACATTTATATATCTGTCACTTTATTAGATGGTAATAAATATAGAATGTGATGATTCGCAAAATATATTATTATGGTGAGAATACATTTTTTATCTCTGATACTTAAACCCAAACTTTGTTTAATATATTCAGCCCAAACTCCATTACTGTCGGGTTCTGGATAAAATTATTAATTATAAATATTAAATAATAATCATATCTTTAAACAATTATATATTATAACCTTTTTTTTTTATTTTAAACAAAGTTAAAAAATAGATGTGTATTGTATAAATTCAGATTCATAAACAAAAAAAATATAACAAGTCCAATATATCCGGGAGATACGATTACCACACTCGGATATAATTTTTCTTTTTTATAAATACCTTTTTTGTAAATATCCGAGAGATACGATTACACAATCAATAAAGATTGTGAACATACTAATCTTTGTTATAAATACCTTTTTTAATTTACCTATTAATTTATGCTGTACAAATTATGGAAAGATATCAAATATTTTTTAATATTACGATTACAATCTTCTAATTGGGTCAAAAAAATTTTTAATGTGCTTCTCATATAGTTTTTAAATCGTGTAAAATAAATATCTAATAGGATAAGTATCTCCTAATATTATATACAAGATATGGAAAATTTGTGCATATCTTTTAAACCTAATACTTATCTAATCCCCTTACATACACAGAAACATAATTTATCTACTTATTTTGTGCGAGGATACATGTTATATGAAAAACATCACATAGCAAACAGCTGTTGAATAACCATACTCATTCACATTCATATTCAGAGATCGTAACAAGTAATCTCACAAGATAGAATTGCGTAAGCATATAGAGATATTGAGTGGCAGTTTTGGATGATGATCAAATAGCAATTGCCAACGGAATCACCATACTCATTAACATTCAGATTCATCACCATACTCATGAGCAACCATATTCACATGAGTATGGATTAAGGGCACAAGATATATCTTGGTGAAGCATATTGAGATATTGCGTAGCAGATTCTGATGATGTTCAAGCAATTTTAGAGGGCAATTAATACCGAACAAATCTTCAGGCAATACCAGGTACTTTTTTCACATTTACAGCTATTTTATTCACATTTATATTCAACTACCTATGTACTTAAAATTTAATATGTATTCAGAGAGAGTGGATAAAGAAAACAGTCATTGATATACTAATTTGGTTATTCAAAATTAATGTTTTTAGTTTATCGGTGACAGATTATATAGAGTATAAAGATGCAGAATGATAAACATTTCAAGTACAATGGAAAGACGAGTAAGCACAACAATACAGATATGGCCAAAGAAAACATCAAGACAGGTAATTAATTGTAAAAATAAGGTTATGAGATTACCTGTCTTCATGTGCTGCAGTCCGCCGAATAATTCATTACAGGCTCACCATTTACTTACCTTTGCGTTCCTCATTGTCAGCATGTATCATTCATGTCAACAAATAAAACATTATTAGTAATTGTTTTATTTGGTAATTATATTCATTTGTAAATAAATTTGTTTGGGCATATGCATATTAAACATAAAACTATATATTTGCGAAAGTACTCAAATTCGTATTCTTTTCTTTTCAAACCAGAATGTATTTACCATAATCTAACTTAAGAAATTAAAAATGTGTAAACAATATCATTTTTACCATAGATTTTGGAAATGTAAAGATATGCATAAATTGTTATTTTAAAAACATCATTTTATCCGTGCCCCGATTTAACCGAAACCCTAGAAGACGCGAAAAAAAAAATTTGAATGGGTCAATTTATTAGAAATATATGAAGAACCTAATATAAATGAGTTAATACCATTTTCGTGTTCCAACCATAGCTCTTACTCAAATCGTGAGTGATGATCTGAAATTTTGATAGTGAACATTCAAATTTGCATATTTGAGTGGAAATGAATGTAAGAAAAAAAAAATTTCAGATCTGAATAAACTTGATAGCATGGATAAATTTAACTGACGAAAATCCGGCGAATATCTTACCTAATCATCCCAAACTCCGGCGATGCAGACCGAACTCAAACTCCGGCAAAGCGGATCTTAAGCTCACCCAACCTCCGGGGCACGGATCTTACCCAGACACATCCAATTCTTCGTAGATCCGGCGATGTTGAGCATTTTTATAACCGAACAGAATCGTAAATCGCTTAAGAAATACAAAAAAATCGAACATAAAACAAAATCACTTCCTTACATACAATCGAATTACATGCAAAAAAAAATTACAAACAACAAAAATCAATTACAATATCGGAAGCAACTGAAAATGGCTTCTAAAAATTACATCAAATAAATAAACGAACTAATGAAATTCATGGCAGAAAAAAAAAAAAAAAATTTTTGGAGAGAATCGGAAAGATCGGGGACAGTTGGGGCGGTGGGAAGGATGAGAGTGAAACCCTCATTTCCGACATTTTCGTGCTTTATACTTCTTCTGGTGAGTTGGTTACCGTCGATTAACTTGGAGATGATCTCCACCGTCCGAAATGTTTGGGTAGGAATAACCGGGCCTAATTCATGTTGTTGGGTTTATTAATTTTGATGAGTTCGGCCCAATTATGTGTTCATTAAGCCTGCATATATATATTTTGTAATGGACAATATTTTGTCCAATTTACACTAATGTTCATATAATATTCTTTTAGATTTTGGCCCACATTTATTTTGTTTGAAACATTATGGTGACTAATAGCCCACACTTGACTACTAATATATTTATTGTATAGATGACATATTTTATATACATTGTTATTGTTATTGTTATTATTATTATTATTTTTAATATTATTATTATTATTATTATTATTATTATTATTATTATTATTATTATTATTATTATTATTATTATTATTAGAGATTAGAGATTTTACATATTTGACATTGTAAATTATAACTTAGCAATTGTAATTGTTATAGTAATACTAAATATCAATCAAGTACTTAATTTCATTAAGCAATACAAAACATAATAACACCTGGTTATATAATAATATATATATGTGTGTGTGTGTGTGTATGTGTTTGTGGATATACATTGTAGCTTTGGTTTAATTATGTGTTATTATTTTTGATTTATTTTTTATTCTTCTATTTTTATAACAGGTGCCAATGACTGTAGTAGAACTCTATTTCATATTGTTGCTACAAAAGCACCACATAATATTATTATTGATCTCACGAGTGAAGATGACATTGAAAATGATATTGTACCTACTTCAAGTACCACGACACGTGTTGTTACCAGTTGCACTAATTATGTAGACCTACAGCCAAGTACACAAAAACGAAAACGTGGTCGTCCTAGGAAAACCCCATTATCGTCAGGAGTATCTGGTCAGTTTAATTATGACTCTAATTTTGTTGTATATAGTTTTTCTAATTATCGTCCATCAATTTCTTTGTATAATTTTTGTTTCCAGGGTCAAATACGATGAATTTGCATAACCGTCATCTGCACACTCAATCATCGTACAATGTGATGAATAGTTTACGCGACTCACCGCTTTCTGACATAACAAATGGTAAGTTTGTTTAAAATCAATAAAGTTAAGAGTTTATAAAATATATGTATACTTAGATTTTTTTTTCAAAAATATTGACTATATGGAGTATCAAAAAATAAAAACATGTAAGTAAAATCGTTGTTTTTATATAGTGTTGCAGTCCAAACTTGGATCTTCGAGCACCTCAGGTGCGTCATTTGGTACGTGCGTGAACATTATTTTTTGTCTCTTTTATATCAAAGTGTAAATTCTTTTTTGGTTTGCAATATAAATATAAATTGTGTATAAAAAAAACAATTGTTTATATATATTTTTGTCTTTTTTTATGTCATCAGGACAACGTAAGCGTCCTATATTATCTTTTGAGAAGCTCACGCATAATCCGCCTGATAGCGTCTTTATCGATCTCACAAGTGATGAGGAGCATATTAGTAATGAGATCACGCAAGGAACGAATACTCAAGGTTCTGTTATTGATCTCACGCTTGATAGTCCAATTCAACCAAGTACACAGAAAAGAAAGCGTGGTCGTCCTAGGAAAACAACTGGATCATCTTCAGCAGTTTCTGGTAATATTATATTAATTTTTTTATTATACAACTAAAAATTTGAACAAAAGTATGTTTTCTAAAAGTTTTAATTACATAAACATTTACAGAATACTGGGACTTTGGAGATGCAAGTTTTCGTTGTATGTATTGCGGTTCGATGTTCTGGTATGAGGAGAGAAAGGCTTATAATCAAAATGCAGTTGTACCTGAGTACACCATTTGTTGCACAAATGGCAAAATTGAACTCCCTCTTTTGAAAAATCCTCCCCAATTCTTGAAAGATTTGCTTCATGGAGATGGCCAATTAAGCAAACATTTTCAGGATAACATAAGATCATACAATAGCATGTTCGGTTTTACTTCTTTAGGAGGAAAGATAGATTCCGATATCAATAAGGGGACTGGGCCACCGGTGTTTTCTTTGCATGGACAAAATTACCATCTAATCGGTAGT